CATGTAATACAACAAGCATTATTAATTTCCTACCACTTTGTCTGTAACTCTGTATTGTCTGTACTGTTCTTCTGCTATTTTGTAAAAGGTTGTCTGTCTGTTAATGTTTTCCTCCTTTCATTTTTAAAATTGAAAAGAAGAGTAAAAATAAGACACAACTGACAAAGGATTTGAATCACGAATACACTAATAGACATATACATAAACACACACAGAACAAATCAAGAAAGCCTAATTGAAAATGAGTAAAATATTTAAGTAAGCAATTCATACTGGAAATGTGCACTGAAAATAACCACATTAAAGGCTACTGAACCACATAAGTATGCAAGAAAACACAAATTGAAATGATAAAAGTATTATTCCTTATCATTCAGACTAGATAACATGAAACTATCTCATAAAATCTAGCATTGTCAGGATACGGATCAAGGAAAGCATGATTAAATTTAAATTTCTTTTTAGCTGATAAATAAAAAGTGATATATATTTATGGGATACCATATAATGTTTCCATTTATGTATACATAGTATAATGTTCACATCAAGGTAAACCCACGTTTTCCTTTGAACATATGTCATTTCTTTATGACAAGACATTTAAAATCCTTTCTTCTAGCTACATGATAATTATCTGAGGTCAGCCTACAGTGCAGTGGTACAGCAGAACTTCTAAGGACTATGGAACTAAAACTCTGTACCACCGGGCAGTTTCTCCCTCCCCTTGCTGCCCCATTCCCAACAGCCTCTGATAAGCACTGCTCCACTCCCAACTTCTATGCCATTAACCAAGTAAAGCTCACAGTGCTCTATGCAAACTGTTGAACAACTTAACATTGAATGCATTATACTTTACAATCCACTGCATTATACTTTACAATCCAGAAATCCACTCCTGGGTGGGATATAAATTAGAAAGAGTATTACATGCATATGTGAAAAGATACAACAAATATGCTCATAATACTATTACTTATAATAGTAACATTTGACATTAGAATGTAAATATGATAGATTCCTACAATCAGCTATCATCCAGCAGTAGCTATTAGGGAACAAGAGGGACAACGACATACACCAAAACAAATCATCCTTACAAGCACAATGTTGAGTCATTAAAACTAAAAAGCAAGTTTTGAAAGGATACATATGGTATTGCATTATTTATGCAAGGGTTAAAGCTGCAAAGTGCTGTTAACAAAGATTGTTAGCAGCAAAAATGGGCAACACTGATGAATGTACAAAAATTTATGAATGAGGTTATAGGGAGGGAGGTGGAAAATGAGGCAGAAGAGGTCATTCATATCTACCAGGCTTTTCTTCTTCAGGTCTGTCATGGGTACATCAGTGCCCACTGTATATATTATGTATTTTTTAAAAACAAATTAATATTTAAAAGTTAAACATTAATAATCCAAAGGAACTCAAATTCATAATAAAAGAGCATTCTATTTTGCTAAAACAAATTGTTAATCTAAGAGGGCAGTTTCACAGTAAAGGCCATCTAACAAATTCATCTGAAGCAAAAATCTTAGTAACATACTACCATTTCTATTTAAAATATCCCTTATTTGCAAAAGCCAACCACAACAAAGTAGCACCCTCTGGCCTTATGTTAATAAGGTACTTATGGACACAGACTTTGTCCTACCAAACTCCAACAGCTCTGAGGTTTTTAGACTCCTGTCTCCTCCATTAAAATATAACAAAGTTTTCTATTATTCTCACTTAGCAACATCTAATTAAGCTAATATATTAATAAAGCAGAAACTATCATCTTTTCCCAAAGTAGTTTTATTTTAGTCAAGAATTATCAAAGAGTTTATCTTTTAAGACAAGGATGACATTTCAATCCTTAAAAGAAAAATATTAGGAAAATAGATGGCACCTGATTGTTTAATATCACCAGGTCTTTTTATATGCAAGTAAGATTAGTCCTGCTTATCCTAAGAAGAGCCTGCCATTTCAAAGGTGTTAGTGGAGTGAATCGAGGAACTTGGTTAACAACTTACAAAGTTTTATAGCTTTAGTATCTAACCATTTACAGACACAGTGTCAAAAGCCAGTCTGTTAAACTACCCGGATATAGTTTTGTAACTTGTGATGGTTTTTGGTGTTGGACCTCTGGGTGAACAACATGGAAAAGATATTTAACATTTATTTACCTTTCTCCAATTTTCAGACAGTGACCTGCATTTCCAGAGAGCTGATGACAGGGCAGCGGAGTTTAAAGATGGCAGCCACATATTCCAATAGTTTTATAATCCCATGAGCCTCACTGTTCAAATAGTGAAGGTGGCTGAATTTTCTTCAAGATTCATAAATCTTAGGGGAAAACATTGGAGTCATTGCATCCAAACGCGATTCTAAAGACAATGTTCTCCCGCACTTTTTTTTTTTTTTTTTAGTGCTAAATTCATGTTTTCATGGTGAAAATCTTTTATCCATTTGGATCTTTATGAACTAAAAGCAATATTGTAAGAGAAGATACAGGAGAATGGAGGACATATGGGATCCCCCAAATCCTCTTTCTCCCCAGTGGAGAGAAAAAATTTGCCTTTTCTTAGGAAAACAATCCCACTCACCATACAAAAAGGTCACTTTAGCGGTAGGTATGTTCTCACTGTTTGCAAGGACCTGCAGTTATCATGACTGGCTGTGATTCTGAGGAAAGAAGTCCCGTGATATATTTTGGTACAAGGGAGTAAATCCTGGAGCGATAATAAAAAATTCTGATTTCAAGAGCAGGGGAACTGAGTGCTTTTTTGAGATGAGCACTTAATCCTTTCTCAAAGTGTGACTCCATTTGATGGATTTAGAAGGGGACTAAATGAATTAATACACAGAAAACTGAGTGTATATTATATTCCAAACAACTGGAAACCCATGTAGGTTTGCTCTAACTGGATAATCGTCGTTGTTTAATAGCTTTCAGTCAGTATGTAAACGTTTTAATATCGCCCCATCCAGCTGAGACACTGAGAGATGCAGGATGTTCAAGGAAGACAAAGTTATGGGGGGAAAAAAAATAGAGCTCAAGAAAGGTCAATTTTTAAACAAACAATTCTTTTAACATTTTTTCCATTTCTTTGCCATTTTCATGATCTGTTTCATGGTGCTTTGTAAGACTTTAAAGAATAATCTGGCTCCCTTACGCATATTTTCCCTCCTTTTCCCTTCTATGTATAAATGTTACTGAACACTGGCAAGTTGTGCTTCGCAGTGGACCCACCCTCCCGGCCCAGACAAAGCAGATAATCACTTTCCTGGGGTCTCCGCGGATGAGGTCTCAGCCTCCAAAGTCTCTTCCTAGCCAATCCCTGGCAGCCAGGAAAAATGATTTTTATCTTTGAAGACTTTAATGTTCCAATCCAGAAATACAAGAAAGGGCTTCCATGCATTTCTGACATGGGAACAACAGGCAATCTGACTCCATGAGCAATTCGAGAATGAAAGGAAGGATTCCTTCTCTTGAGAGGAGGAGGGGGAGAAGGAGGAGGAGGAGAAGGAGGAGGAGGAGGAGGAGGAGGAGGAGGAGAAGGAGGAGGGACCACTCATATTTCACAAAAGAATGATTCCTTGAAAATAAACCCATTTTAATTTTAAAAGATGGAATTCATCAGATCTGCAAGTCTAAATATAGCACAAGCGTCATCAATGTGTTTTTTTTTTTAACATATTGCTGTTCTGAGAGTTTAAAGGGAAGTGTACAAAGAAAGTGTGCGTGCCTTTATGTGAAGGAGTGTGTGTGTGTGTGTGTGTGCGCGCGCGTGTGCTCCTGTGTTCTGGGCTGGAGGCGGGGCGGTGACTGGATGCAGGGAAGTTGGGAAACCCCTTCTCTCTCTGCTCACTCCCGGAGCAGCAATCCTGGCCCCAGAAATAAGAAGGGGGCGCGGGAGCCGGCCCCTGGGTGTCGCGCTGACTGACAGCACGCTGGCGGAGCCGCAGGCAGAGACTTTCTCCTTAGCAGCCAACAACCTGCAGCAGGCCGGGCGGGCGGGCGGGGGAGGAAACCCCGAGGAGGCGCTCCCGGCCGCCCCTTCGCTGAGGTAGCGGGAGCGGCACCC